TCCATACGCTGCATATCAAATGCAGGTAGAAGAGGCGATTAAATTGAAAAAAAAAAAATAACCTCTTGGATTTTTAATAAGGACACCAATAATTTTGACATTAATATCCATCATTAATGGTATTATCAAATACAAGGCCAATTACACATTACAGGACGAAAAGGATGTATTTTTGGTGTATAGACAGTTCCCAATTATCCACTTAAAGTGGAATATAGAATAAAAGAGACGATTTCTGGTGTAAAAATTTGGAGGAGAAGGTAAAAAAGTTTTATATAAACTGTATGTTGCCAGAATTGGTAGATCCAAGGTATAATCGGGGAATGTCATTAAGAGAACCTGATTACATCTTAGAAGCTATTCAAAAATTAAAAAATAAAAAACAAAAATAATTACCTCCAGAAAGTAAAATAACATTAATAGTAAGATGTTTCTACAAAGCCGCTATTTATTCTAAAAGTATTTTCTTTAATATTTTTGATTTTAATCTAGGTACTGTTAAAACGCTATAATACCTATATTTATTTGCAGGTCTTCTGTGACTAATTTATTTGTAGTACTGGGTCCAATTAAGTTACCAAAAAATAATGACCGATCATTTTAAATACATTTCTTATGCCTACTTTGTAAAAAATAATATCGAGCTGTTTAGTCAAGCGCCCTGCTCTTCACACAAACAAAATTAAATTGTTTTATAATTTTTGATAAATTTACATCATATCTAAAAATGAAAAGAAAAAAATGATGTACACGGTTCATAATCAGTGGCGGCTTGTCATAATTTAAAATGGGTGTTCACTTTTTCCAATAATTTCATTATATGTAAGTTCGGATCAAAACTTTGTTCAAGAGTCAATATCGCTGTTTTTTTTATTATTTGAGTTTGTATTAAGTGTAGTTATTATTGTCAACATCACACTGTTTTCAAGCACTACAACTATTAATAAATGAATATTTTAGTTAGTGTGGTATTTGTTTTGTTTTTAATATATTGAAAACCATCTATAAACATTATTAGTTAGTAAACTGACTTTTCTTCATAATTTGAGATTATTTTTAAATATATATCAGGTTATGTAGAAAGCTTGACATTGATTTTTGTGTAAAAAATTTTATATGAAATTTTACCTACCATTTTTTGGTTTTTATTTATGTTTAATCATTTTCACAATTTGTCACAGATGTCAAATAAAAAATATATTTTTTAAATACCCTTTATTGTCAAATAAAATAAAAACTTAAATGTTTTAAATGTTTATTTTATAAGATCAGTCCCACCACAATACATAATATTACACAGACACAAACTAGAATAAAGATATATAATGCCTGGCATTTTAAATGATACTCTTCGCAGTTTAACAAACCCCCTTAACCTCCATTTTTAATTAGATTGTTTTTACATTCAATAGTCCTTATCTCCTTATAGACCTTAATTTTTACTAAAACTTTCATGTTGATATCGCTTTTTACTTTTGATATTTTTTTTAATTTAAACCTTCCTTAAATCCCCCATATTTAATCAGATTTTTTTATAATGAAATAGCTTCTTCTCCTATTGGAGACTGATGTTTGCTAAAAATTGTTTGTGAGCGGCGCGCCAATTAATGTGTTCTTTGACAGTTTGCAGGATCTGTTGGCGTTTTGTCTTCTCTTTTTAGCTATATGCATTCGGCATATCGTCTCACCCGTATTAGGCTCACTCATCATAATGCGCCACAGACACAGTATACTTAAGTATACTGTGACACAGAGACGCGATCAGCCAGAGGACAATGATGTATAAAAAAATATAGATTAACACGTATGAAAATAAAAATATTAAAATTAAATTTATATTTTTGTTATTTATGTAATATTAAAATATTGTGTTTCTTTGAAATTTGGTGTTCACTGCATAAATGAACCAATGGAGAAACCGCCCCTGTTCATAATATATTACGCCAATTTTGGCGTTTGTTCGTCCTATAATATTCACTTTTTTTAAGAGCAAAAACTCTTTTTAAAATCGTTGACATCAAAAAGAGAAAATATGTTTTTATATCTCAAAGTTAGCAACAACAAAATATGATAACATCATTCAACGGCAGCCATCATGAAATTCGGACTAATCAAAGCCGGATAGTAACAAAACACTTCGGCTCTGTTCCCTCAGTTTTTAATATATTATTTCTATAAGAATATCTTTTTGAGTTTCAGTCAATATACATATATAAACCAAAATAATTCTGAATTTCATTCTCTTAAACCAATAGCTTAAGTTACGAATAAGAGGCATTCGTAAGTATTGTAAAAATTGCAAAATACTATTATACGTTAAATGATGTAAATTAATATATTTTATATATTTGTACAAAATAAAATGTTAAGTCATCTTCTTGCTTTATTCATTCTATGCTGAAAAGAGGGCATCCAAGGAAATATCTTTCTGTAAACTATACATTCTACAAATTATCAGATTACTACAACAGCAGACAGCAACAAAATCAGGAAAAACTTATAAGTAAAACTATTTTCTCCACGTTTCTTTAACAGATAAGTCAGAAAATATGTAAATTATTAATATAATACGAAACATTTGTTAAATACATTATTTATAAGGCTGATTTATAGATTTTATTATATTAGTAGCTTAGTTGATATTCTTTGCAAAATGAATTATTTTAGAAAATATAATATATACCTACTATACAAATATAATTCTTCTACCTATTTTTTTTTCTAATCAAACTATTTTTCTATTTAAATATATTGAAACATTGCAAATTCTATATTGAAAACAAAATTATCTCATATAATAAAATTTCCCTCTACCCACCAACCGAGCAACACTAAATTTAAGATTGATCCTATATGTACCCTTATTCCGTATCTGGCCAAATTTCAATACTAGGTAGACAAAGAAGGCAACAGCACCCATCCTTCGGTACGAACACGGAACGTCTTGAGAGGGGATATCGTAATGATGTTTTTCAATCATTTTTATATCCGAAATTACTTTGCTATTGTAATAATTACGGCTTTATATTAAGTCCAATTTTAAAAATTATTTTTTGATCTTATTAAGAAAAAGATTTACTACAAGTTGACATTAATCGTTCGAAAAATAATGCATGTTGGATAATGTTAATTCTCTATTAAAAGTTGTCCTTTTTTAAACAAAATTAATAAACTTTATAATTTTTTGTAGACAAAGCGGACCATTTTTTCAAAAAAGTATGAAAACCCAGGGCTATATATATATGGTATTATCTTTAAAACTGTGTCTTCTAGGATTAAAACAGAATGCCTATTTGTAATACAAATTTTCTGCTATTGTCATTGGAGCACAATAACTCTTAATATACGTTTAATAGTAACGTTAGTTTAACTTACACAAAAGTCGTAATAAACCGTTATTGCATCAGAAACCTTAAACGTTTGGTTTAAATTTTTAACTAAAAATAAACGTTATTTTAATATTAGTTAATTAACTATATTATAATATTTTTTAACGTTGTTATATAACGGAAAGTTATAAAATTTTTTAAAATATACATATAATATTAACGTAAATTTAAATTAAATATAAATCATATAGAGTGGGCCGTACGATAGACAGTTCAAATAAAATCTTAGTTTACACTGTGAACCTCGTTGCATAATCATCGGTTATTGTTAAACATAATTTTAAAAATGACATTTGTACTTTAAATATAACCAGTTAAAAATTAAACTCCTTTTAGCTAAACTCCTGTTATTTTTTTAACGTTGTTTTGCATTTGTAGTTCTACTAAAAGGAAAAAATTTTATGAAATATACGTGTAATATTATCATTAGTTTAAATTACATATTTTAAATTAAAAATTAACGTTTATTATTTATCTGTGTTAATTTCATTTTTAAACATTGAAATATAACTAAAAGTTGATAATTTTTTTAAATATACATATAATATCAACGTTAGTTTAAATTAAATGCAAGTTATTGAATTGCAACCTTTTAACATTTGGTTAATAACGGAAACTAAATATCTACGTTGTTTCAATATTATTTACTTATATTTATATTTTAATATTGTTTTTAAACGTTGTTATGTAACTAAAAGCCAATAAATTTGTTAAATATACGTATAATATTAGCGTTTATTTAAAATAAATGTAACTCGTACATAAAACGTTATTGTATTTAAACCTTTTAACGTTTTAAGAGAGGGCGCACCAGAAAACTATACTGTTTGAATATTATATTAAACTTATTTATTATAAATTACTTTGATTTTAGATGGAAGTTTAAATAAAGAGTTGTTGTACAACGTTTTACTTTTGCATAATAATAAACGTTTAATTGTTGTTTAAAAATATACTTGTAATTAATACGTAATAAAAGATTATTTGGTTGGCATATAAACATATATTAAATCACTTGAAAATACGTAATATAGTAACGTTAAGAAAACGGAAAAATAAAACCGTTGCAATATTACATATAATTATAATCAACCGATATTTCTTCTTTTTTTATGTTAGAAACTATGTAAAATTCAAGGTTTGATTCTAATATTATCTTAATAGTAACATAAAACGTTACAAACATACGTTAATTATAAATGCAATTTGTGGTCGTGAATAATGTTATTTTCCGCGACATTTGAACTCTTTCTTATTCGTTTGGATATCAACCAGTTTTTGACGTTTTTTTACGTACGTGTGCTCATTGGGGATAATCAATGACTAAAACTGTATTGGTGACAAAATATTCTTCATTATTTTTGAGTATAGTATATAGGGTCATGAGTAATGAGATAAAGAGGGAGACTCAAGTTCTTACATTAAAATATTACAATTTATAAAGTATGTCATTGAGGGCAACTGGAACCTAATCATTTTACTTTACAAATTGCGTTTGTCTGTGTTCAATACCATGATTCTATTTCGGTTTATTAACTAAATTAATTAAATTTATGAACTACAAAAAACGCTATACCGTGGTAGTACAGCAATAAGAACTAAATTACTTACCTCATATTTGAATAGAAGATTATTACACCAACTGTCACCATGGATAAGAGATATTTTATATTCAGGATCTTTTAGTCCATTAGAAAACATATCTAAAATCTTCGGCTCAATAGTTTTAAGAAATTCTGTTAAATCAGGATCATCCTTAATACTTTTATAACCGCTATCCATTACTCCTCTAAAGAACGGTTCAAACAAATCTTTGTTAGTTACAAATTCTTCATTTTCCCATATACTACTTGATATGTCTTTGGTTATCTTTACGTATAATTCTGGATTCTTGTGTTTCATCGCCATACAAGTACCATGGAATTTTGCATAACCTTTTAGAACTGCCGATATATGCTCCGAGTTCATGGGTTGTTGTTTATTCCACAGTTGATATCCTTGTGTTTTCAAATTCTCCATTATCAAACATTCACTTTCTTCAACAGTTGAAGATCCGTATATTTTGGCATAATTGTCAAAAACATCAACGACATTATGGATTTCCTGATACTTTTTGAACTCGGTTAAAATATTTTCATACAAATAAATTTCTCTTAAATAAGCTGCTCGTAAAGCTGCAGCTTTTCGGAAAACTTCATTTTGATGCGCTGATTTTAATATCAATTCTAATTTGTCCTTACCATTTTTTATAGTAACCGTAGTTAAAATACCTAAAAAATTATCACCCTTTTCTGTACCTTTATTGGTTGTCAATTCGTAGTCATTGAAACCATTTTCTTTTGCTATTTTATCTATTAAACCTTTTTGCACCTCATTTAATTGAACAGACATTATCTCAATTCACTATAACCAGTAACTGAATTTGATTAATTTGATAATTTGATAAAATCGATACTTATCTTATTTTTATTATAAACTACTTATGTTGTATGAATCGTGTAATAATTTTTGTGTTAAGTAAATTTATCCAGTACCGTACTGTCAAGTCATTTTTTAACCAAGTATTGACTATTCAAAAAGAAATGTTTACGAATATTTAAGGCAGAAAACTAATAATTTATATGTGACATTAGGAATGTACTAGTTAAGAATAAAATAAAATGTTTATTGTTAATGCGATCTTAGTTAAAGAATAATAGAGCACCGCTATAAACTAGAACATATATTCATAATTTTTAATTTTTTAAGTTCAAAGCAATGCTTTTTGGACCTATTTATTTTTATTTTAACTTGTTTATATGTGGAACGGTCTCTAAATTTAAGCGATTATACAGTCTTCAATAATACATGTATCCTACGTAACTAAATTAACACGATTAGTTGGTTAAAAGTGACACTACTAACTTCTGTAGTAATCCTAAAACAATGACACTGTCACAATTTAACAGAACTTATACTTAAAATGTCATAAAAGTCACTAAAAGATGCATTATTATTATTATTATTATTATTATAGATAACCAAAACAGACGTGTAAATCATAAATTTAGTAGAAATTTCAGTTATAAGGTTTTGTTCCTAATATTTAATTAAAATACCTATTATAGAAATAAATAAAATATTTTTTTATGAAAATACTTATGTAAAAGGGGGAAAATAATATTTTGCACCAAAATTAATGTTTTATTTTCTTTTTTGTTAATGGCTAAAGAAAATTGATTTCGATAACTTTCTTCGTTTCAGATCAGTTCGTTTTTTAACTACATTAAAAATATTATTTTTTTTTAATTATGTGTCAATAGATACGATGACGTTTAATTGGGTAGCAGATTTAACAATTTTGAGTAACATTAGAGTGGTCTTTTCTCATTTTCGAGCGAAACAAAGTTTATTTAAAAAATTGAAATTTTATAACAGGAAATTTGCTTCACGTATCATTAAAAGTGTATAATATAGCTGCAATATACTCGTATATTTTTTTTAATTTGGTGTCATCGGCATCGACTACTAAGGCTATTAGCCTCGTGTTCTGTGTAGTCTTTGTTACTGTTTCCCAGCGTTACTTTAGGGGCAGTACTGTTAATTAGAATCCAACAGTAAATGGTCGAGTTTGGAATCCTACCAAGGCATCAGAAAGCTGCAATATTGTCATATATTAAAAAAATAGTGTATTTTCTTACAATTAATTTAATTTTGTGAGTAATATCATAAACAGAAATGTTAAATATATGATAGTTCAAAAAATAATTAATGGGGGGGGGTAACGTTAATTCGTGCAAAAAAGCACATTTTTGTGAATTTTTTTTTGACGACACTTTTAAAAGCTGTTTATTTAAACTAATGTTACATCAAAGTACAACATTCAAAGAATATTGTGTCAAATTTTCATGAAGAAATATTTAGAAATACGGAAATGGCAGCAATTATTCGGAAGCGTCGCCGAAAAAAATAGATTTGCAATGCCCCTCCTAATTCGGTGCTGGATCATCAGAAATAAACAAATCCAAAGCTTTTTCGTTAGATAATCGTTTTCCTCAAGTAATGCTGGGAGGGTTTTTTAACATTTCAATTTTTCACTTTTTGGGAATACTTTGAAGTAAAAAACGCGATTCTTGCGAAAAAATAGGCTAATTTGTTATTATAAAATAAAAAAAATATTAACAAATTTGAAAAACCCTCTAGCGTTACCTCATAAATTGTGTACTTACAGAAATAGTGTTCAAAATTTTAAAAGGATAGGTGCAGTAGTTATAAGGGGCACCGGCTTTGGAAACGCGAGTTGTGGGAAAAACGCTTTAAAGTTTTGAACACTAAAAAATTTGGAATAAAACGTTCATAAGCGAGTTTTATCGGCTTATCTAACACTGAATCATCGTTGCCAGGTCCATAAATGATGTTGCTATCATCCATGACGTCTAAAGCATCTTTTTGCTTCTGTCTACGACGAATCCCCATTCATGAGTCTTTGATCCACTCCATTCCCATGTCTTGCATAGAGGGTAGTAAAGCAAAATAACCTGCCAGGCCAATGCTACACTAAATTATATACAGCACACGTAAAAACACGTTTTTACTTGTGTTGAAATTTTTATAAATAAAGGTTGGAGGTAAAGTTAGGGATTATATAGAGAGCGAAACAGCTACCAGGTAACAATAGCGCGTTCGGGCCGGGCAGGTGTTTTCTGAGTCATGTATGAGTCGCGGTTACTCAAACCGCTGTATCTTCGTTAGTTTTGCTCCGATTCATCTCAAATTTTCACACAATATTCATGAAAGGTTCTTTATTCACAAAATCAAATATAACAAATGCAAAAAAGTTTAAAAACTGTTATAGTGTTATTAACTAAAAATAAAATATTTAAAATTTATTGAATAAAAGTTATAAACAAAATTTGCTTCAGCAGGCATATAAAATTGTTGTTTCAAAGGTAAAACCTTCTGATTTTTTCCTATTACCAAAACTTTAGCAATTCAAGACAAAATATTTAAGCTATATATTCTGTAAACTACAAAAATCAAAACAACAACCAGACCTGCAAAGTCATGGCCCATGCCATCTGAAGAAAAGTGCTGTATTGTAAGCAAAGGTTCGTGAATATGATATATTTCTTTGGTATTTATCTTACTTGATGAACCGTAAAGTCTGGAAGATCTAGCTGATTCTTGTAGAATGTTTAGAGAAATTTTTTTGATATAAAAATTTTAAAATGTTTACGAAAGTCTGTATTTAAATATTTATGATTATAAGTTTTATAATTTGCTTATAACTGGCTTGTTAAACTTATCCTTTTTTAAAAAATATTTTTACATCAAAACCATTTTCTTAACTCATGGCGTGGTGCCTTGTTTAACAAATGGTAACAAAATGAGAATGAACATGTTTATTAAAATTATATTATTTGTCAATGTGAATCAGGTGTTATTAAACCACGCCATCACAAAACTGTCGATGCTTTCTGGCTAATCAGATTTCCGGTTTTCACATGGCCTAAAGATTGTTATTATTGTATTATGTTAAAATACCGTCTTTGTATATATCGAAGATTCTATTACTTGCATATGGTGTGAGTGTCTTTTATATTTCCCCGTGCGCGAGCTTACACAGAGGCGTATACAGATCGTAAAACAATTATAAATTTGCATGTTTTTAATAGTATCCAATTACAAAATAAATACCATATAAACAGATTCGAAGATCAGGTCACTCGGTTTTAATGCATATACGTATCACTAGCTAAAACCATTAACAATTGGCATGCAAATTAACTTTGCACTTTATGCACTTATATTGCATGATTATGACATACTCTGCAACGGCTATGCCTTTCTTGCTTAAAAATAACTTGAATCAGATTATCTGTAGGAATATCATTAGGTGATTATAGTAACAATACAAACAATTGAGGCGTTCTTTGCATAAACTCCAGTTGAGTACCTAAATGAGTACCTAAATGAGTACCTAAATGAAGAGAGACTTCTTGTGAAGTCAGACGGGCCTAGATGAGGAACATTTCTCTATTTGATAATTCACAATTTAAAAATTTTCTATACCTTTAATTGAAATCGACAATTATACACCTAATAAGTGTAATATTTTTAATACAAATACCGATGCTCGTCATAGATCATTTATGAAGTTTAAAAAGTTTTAAAATTGTAAGGTTATGTTTTTTTTGTTGTGTTACTAGAAACAATTATTAGTTTTAAAAGTATTTAACTAATGAAAAATGTCGAATTTCTTTATGCATAATAAATATCTGAACAAAAATGCTGTAAAAATATTGCAAATAGTCATGGAAAATATAATTGTAAGGTAGAATATTGCAGATGAACTATAATTGGTCCAGAATTTGCTCAGAAAATATCTAAAACTAATTTCATTTCTCCATAAAAGTTATTTAACAGAACTACATTTAAATTATAATCCCCAACACCCCATGAATTTAAAAAGATCATTGAAAAAATTAAATCTTGAAAGGCATGTGAAGAAGTCACAATATCAGAAGAGATACTTGCACAAAGAATTCAAGATTGAAATTGTTAAAATACTTAAAACACAAGAATTAAATTGTTAAAATATTTGAGTAGGTACTTTATTAAATCCACGTACTTCGAGTTTTCTCATTTTGACGGTTTTATGTCTCAAGTATTTAAGAGAGTCAGAAATGCTTCAACTATAGACTGTTTTCGCTACTTCCCTTCATCTCTAAAGCAATTTTAACATATATCATTATGAATAATAGTATCATCTCTCAAACATCAATATTCTTCACCCTACCAATTTTAACTGTTTTGCTCAGTGAATTCTTTAGCAATGGGAAATTGTGAAATATTCTACTTTTTGCTATAATATCTATTTTATTATATTCAATATTTTATAAAACAATCTTATATTTTATTTGTTTATTTGTACCAGTCTTTTTCAAATCATTGTAAATATTGCATAATATTATTTTGTTTTTATATATTTTGGAATTAATAAAAATACAGATTATATAGGAAATATATCAAACTATGTATGGTTATTATAATCAGACAATGTTTTGTTTAAAAAATATATTTTTTGTTATCTACCAATCTTCGTAATTCCTACAAAAGTTCTATAATTTCTCCTAATTCAAATCAAAAGTACTTGAATTGCTATCATCGCTATTGCTGTTAAAGTTGGTTCAAAAACTGTATTTTTTTCAGCTTCTACTAAACACTGGTCAATTCTGAAACCAAATTTATCTAAAGTAACAAATTTAATTTTAAAACCTTTATCGAATAATATCTAGATGGGCTAGTAGAATAGATGCAATAACTCCTTTAACGAATCAACTTGGGGAAGTTTATGATGCTCTGTTTGAAATAAGCGAAGAAAATTTTAAAAATAACGCAATAAATTTGGCTGCATCGTAAGCCGAAAAATTGCAAAATTTTAAGTTCATTT